GGGGGGGGGGGGGGGGGGGAGAGGGGTTCTGACTAAAACTGAGCAAAGAGTCGGGACTTTTCAAGACTATAAGATACTAGAGTAAAGAGTGATCCCTATAAATGTACAGTTCGGTCATTCTACCTCAGCTCCAGACACGTTCATGATTACGTGGTTGTGGCTGAATGATGAGCATGAAACGAGTGAGTCAATACCAAGAATACCAAGACAGTTTAAGCTATCAGTGGGGAATATCCTTTGTTAGTGATGGTACGTATATGACTTAATGGACCGAAACGTCTTATCTCATCCTTGCCTTATACTGCTCTTGCTTTTTGTATTCAGTCGTGCCTTCGTCACTTCGGCTCCCAGGGTCAACCTGAATGCAACAGTCGGCTTACTGGTATGCTTCCACATGTCATGCGCAATTATTCAAGGCTCTTCCCCTCCCTTCTGATTCTGGACTGCACGTCTCCAGTTATCACTCACTGCCTATTCGATGTTTTTGCGCCACTTTGGGGATCGTCCGAGCGATTATTTTTTCGTGGATACCACTCACTAATGCGATGTGTTCCACCGGTTATCAAAATTACCAAATGGTGGATTGGGGTCTGCACTGATGATTTCCACCGCAGTCCACACCGCATACTGTCTGTGTTTGCAGCTTAGGGATGAAACACAGACAGCCATTTTCACATTTAGCTTCCCTACATGTCCTTCTTACATCACCTTAACTTTTTATAATACACATATACGCTTCACAGTCTATTTCGCTTCCTCTTTTCGTTGTCTCACGACGATCTATTCGATCCATTCGTTCCACCGGTTGTCGGCAAGGCGAGCAACATGTTTTACCAAGAGACTGTGCAAATATCTGAAAATTTCATATATGACTTAGTGGACCGAAACGTCTTATCTGACTTTTGCCTTCTCATACTGTTCTTACTTTCTGTACGTGAGTGAAACTTGAATGAATATGACTTGGTTTCAGCATTACTGCTGCCGGTGATTGTCATAATGTTTGGTTTCTTCCTAACACAGCCGTTCTTTGTGGCACAGATGCTAATCTTCTGCTCGGTGTGGTCAGCATTTATTATCGGTGTATTCGTTGTTGTGTGCATGCTTCTGTCCTCTCGTTTGCCTCCCAGTGCCTGTCAATTAATCGCTTTCGCTATCGCCAGGTAATTTTTTGGTTCTCTTTTAACAAGTTGACTGCAGACACTAATCGAAAAACAAAGGATTTTTGGCAAATTTTGTTTCTTTTGTCTAAAAGAATGTTGCTTCCAGTTTATAAAATTGATGGGTATGGACAAAAATTTTGGACGGATTACTGTGGATGAACCCGAAAACCTTGCTTCTGGGCAATTTAGGCGTAGAAACACTGTAGATATGCTGAAAAATGTTAAAATGCTTAGAAATATTGAAAAATGCTTTTCGGTTTAGAGATTGTGTTTTGTAAGCTCTTTATCTGAGTATAAAATCTTTGGCCACAACAAATAAATGCATTGCAAGGGTCGAACCACATCGTTCTCAGTACAATCAAATACACACTTTCGCTTGTAAATACACGGAAACAATAGAAATAATCACATTTTTATGCTACCCTTGTTATGTAAAATATCTGAGAAATTTTAAAGACACAAATAACGAATATCTCTGGCTAGGAGATTGGAAAAGGAGGGGAGAGGGGCTGAAATGAGCTGGTATTCTGTCTGTGTGTTTCATCCCTGAGCTGTAAACACGGGCGGCAGAATCGGTGCGAAATGGGGTGAGCATCATCAGTACAGTGCCCCATTTTGCCAAGTAGGAATGCACATGTTGGTTACCGGAAGATACAAATACAGTTTTTTCACCATATGCAAGCGGTAAGCGAATTACAGAAACCGATCGTCTCATGGATGATGTCAAACCTTCATTGTGAAGGTTTGACATCATCCATGAGACGATCGGTTTCTGTAATTCATGCATGTCTCGATAGTAAGTTGGTGCTGGTGTATGTTAGGATGACAGAACATTTGCAGCGTGCTTCCGAAAACCCTGAGAAGAGGAAGCCATTGGTAGCCTTTTCCAAAAAATGGAAATTTGCTTGCGCATGGTACCTACCACTCATGCAGCTATCGAGTGCCTCTACAGGAAGTAAATTGTGGGCGGGGAGAGGGGGAGGGGAATTACTTTGTATTAATGTTTGAAATAAACTTTTATTCAAAAATTGTATGATCTTTTTTCCTTCAGAATTTTTTTTCACTTGATTGTCTTTTCCCATTTACCGCACAAATTTGAATTTGGGTAATATATCTGAGAAAAAAAAGTGTTTATTTACTGTAATAAATTGAACCCAACATTCCAGTTCGTATTTATTTCAACTTGCCACGCTCTACAGTGAATTCTCGGCTTCTCGAAGAATGGTATTGGACAGTGGGCCACCGGTAGCTTGCATGGTAAATTTTGTCCAGTTTGAATGTGTGGATTAGGTATTCTCCTGAAAACCCCTGTTAAAGCCATTATATTTTTTAGGGTTTCTCATGGCTAACAAGCATCATATCAGAGCGTTCATGTGCCGAATATTACAATGCCCTTAATGGTAACATTTTTTGGCAGCTAAACGTTGTTCACGTTTCCAGCAGTTTGCTAAGCAACACTCTTATCGCTGTAGCATCCATGGTAAGATACTTCGTGTACTATTTTTCAATAAAAAAAAGTACTGCAGGATTCGTTAAAACAATATGAATGATAAGTAACTGCCTTGAGAAGGCCGAATCAGAAGTGGACGGTCTACGTGAGTGGGGGACGTTCCCCTAAATTTTCAGCTTCCTGGCTTTTGTGGTTCCCGAGTTGAAAGTTGCTGCGGACACACACACACACACACACACACACACACACACACACACACACAGACAACCCCATAACAATATGCGTTTTGTACTGCTGTTACACAGCACAAAACGCATAAAAAGGCAATAGAATAAGAGTGGTAAGGTTCTAGGGGACCGAAGCTCCCCAGAACAGGGGTAAGTCAGCAGGGAGTAGCTTTCTCAAGTAGTTGGAAATGACTCTGGAATTCCGGAGACGGGGATGAGGGCTTTTATACCCCAGGGGTCAGAGATTACTAAGGTTGCACAACTTTAACGGGGCAGGGTGTTCAAAGTTTGAGTCCAGAGATCGGGCTATTGCATCATAGTGACGCAATTGTTCTTTACGCCATTTTTAACAAAAATCCATTAATCATTATCTGATATATTATGTGACAGGCCATGGATTAATTTGCTCAGCACCAGAATGTTCATCTCGTTAATTTCACATGGGCTTGGTGTATGTTGCAGTTTGGTGGCGCCTTTGGTGGTTTTGTGGACTCATTTCTAAACCGACTGAGCTGGTGGTATCGTTTACCGGCATTTGCTGTATCTTCTTTGTGTCTTCTATCGGCTGTTTTTGCACTACTCGGTTATCGTTTCGACCTATTTTATGGCCTGATTCGGATCGATTTTTCCAAGCAAGAAGTTACGAGGTTTGTTTGTACGACATCCCTTTCTTTAAGATACGTGGAAGAGCTACGATTGATAGTCTTCATCCATGCAGTTGATAACTTTTCAACCAAACACACTCATAGGCTTTGCACGTTTACACTGTTCCATGCACATTCTGTCTCTTTCATGCGTTTTTGAATATAAGTGCAAAAACACATATTGTGATGATCCATGATAAGTGTATATGTCTCTGTGTATGTGGTGTTGTGTGTGTGAGGGTGTGTGCGTGTGTGTGTGGGTGTGTGAGGGTGTGTACGTGTGTGTGTGTGTGTG